GGTATGGAATATTTCCACTGGCCACCCTGGGCTGGCTGCCTGGCTGTGCTCCCTCCCAGCTCCTGCACACCGGCTCATTAGCTGAATATGAGAAACTGAAAAAAGTCCTTGATTTCATAGCAACAACTGAAAACACCAGTGTTACCAACATTCTTCTCGTATAAATTGCAAACAAAGCAGCTACTGAGAGGAAAATTAGTGCTGTCCCATCCAAAACCAGGACAGAAAGTCAGCTTGGCACCACTTTCACTAAGTCTAGAGTTTTCTGCAGCCTAGAGGATCTGGGATGGATCCAAACATGGAAAAGGAAGGCTGTCACAGAAGTGCAGCAATGTATGGTGCTGAATGCAAGGATATTTGTAGCCTAGTTACCAAAGGTTCACGTTGTCACTCTGTTAGAGTATCTGTCTGGGTACCAGTCTCCAGCCATTTTTAAACTTGCTGGTTAATTCTACTCCAGATAGTGAGCATAATATAATAACATATCATACAACATCTTACAAGGGAGTATGACCATCTCAGTATGATGTAGTACTGCAGCACATTGCAAAGCATAGCGATCTTCGCCGCAGCAGCTTGTGGTGCAATATAACGCAACATAATGCGTTCCCCAAACGCAAGTAGTCCTGCATTGTCCTAAGGCCTTCTGGAGGGCATAATCCCTGGGAAAGATGGGCGTGGGGAGGGACAAGTGTTTGTCGTACTTGAAACCTGAACTGCTGAGAATCAGGAAAGAAAGTTAGTAAATTCTCTAATGCAGCCTTTTCAGCAGATAAACATTACCCTGTCCTTTTCAGCACATAAACTAATACGCCACTAACCTACACACTCACACCGTACCAACATGCCTTGTTCAGACAACAGAGAATGTAATAATTACTGCAAGAACTGTAACAAGTTCTATCAAGCAAACCTTCTTCTGGGCATGAGGCACAGACCTGAGCCGCCTGCACTTACTCTAGTCTTGAAAGCCTTGATTTGCCCACTGACACCCCCTGCTTCTTGTTAACGCTTGCAACCCATTCATTTTCACCCAGGGCATTCCGTTTGCCACTGTCCTTTCGCTTACCTTTCATTAACATCACCCTTTTACCTTCCCTTGGGTAATACAGCTAAGACCTCTTAAAGCAGGGTAATGAACTGATGCCACAATAGTGGATATTCTGTTGACAGTATATTGACTTGAGATACAGGTTTCAGCTTCAAGTCTTGCTCCAGAAACCACAATACATGGTCCAGAAACTGGATATCAACCCACCAAATGTCCTTTCGTATTAGCTCATTCAGGCAGTTGTTTCTTCTTCTTTTTTTTTTCAGTCCCTAATTCCACTTGGAACTGAAAACCTTCCCTGACAAACTGTCAGCAGTGTGGCACGTCTATATGAAAAGCTGTGGTTTCAGTAAGTTCACATTTTCTGAAAAATACATCATCTGAAAAATAAGATACTAACTCTACTGCTTTTATTATCGTTCCCTTTACTGTCTAACAGGCAGTGGTCTTCCCACCATTTTGCTCTAAGCCAAAATATAGCATATTTCCATAATTTCCTTATTTCCCTGCAAAAAAACAAACACAAAAAGTAAAAAAAAAAAAGTAGATTTTAATCTTAGATCAAGCATAGCTGCAGAGCTGTGGTGCTTAACACCTGGAAAAAATGAAGGATGAAGACAGAAAATGGTAATTTAAACCATTTTAAACAGCAATGTTTAGTTTTGTTCCTATCATCCATCCCAGCAGAAGTGTCAAAAGTATGAGAAGTAAGCTCCTTTAACATCCTTACATATGAACACTGGCAGAAATAGCTGGTTTTAAAATGCTGTCTTTCTCCTTTATGAATCCCTTGTTTTGGGGAGATATGAATCTGTTGTCCAGGCTTGTTATTGTCACCGCAGGCATGATGCCTTAGCACATAAGTTGCTATTTTAGATGGCCTAGTGACTGAAGACATGCACACAGAGCTGTCAGAGTTGAGACAGGTACGCCAAGAAACCGATGCCCTCCTGGAACAGCAGGCAAGGCCAGCTGAAATACAAGTGAGCATCTCATAGAATCATAGAATGATAGAATGGTTTGGGTTGGAAAAGACCTTAAAGATCATCTGGTTCCAACCCCCCTGCCATGAGCAGAGACATCTCCACCAGACCAGGTTCCTCAGAGCTCCATTCAACCTGGCCTTGAACACATCCAGGGAGGGGGCAGCCACAGCTTCTCTGGGCAACCTGTTCCAGTGTTTCACCACCCTCATGGTGAAGAATTTCTTCCTAATATCTAATCTAAATCTGCCCTCTTTTAGTTTACAGCCATTCCCCCTTGTCCTATCACTACACATCTCAAATGGCAACAGACACTTACATGTGGATGACTGAATTGGGTCTCCTAATTCAGGGCTCCACGGACTCCCTATGAATAGGGATGCACCCACATATGTTTAGACCTCTGTATACCTAGGCATGTTACTCTCAGATTAAATCCTGCCCTAAAAGTCTCATAGCTAATCTTCAGCAAGGTTTAGAGGTTTTTCACACTAAATTTGAGTTTGGAGGGATTAGAACTGAATGTATCAAAATGAGTGATTAGCTTTATACTAAAAAAATGAGAAGAAATTTAAAGGGCATAGGAATGCTTCTTTTTGGACTCATTCCATGTCACTTAAGTATTTAAAAAATAGTTGTTTGGGCTAAGTTAAACTAGGCTTCCTCTGCCACTGGTCATGAAGGCAACCTAAATAAATCTCTTTGACTGGATACCCAGTTTTAACAGCTGGTGGTCTTTGAGGTGAAGGTTGCATTTCTTTCCATATTTCCCAAACAAGGCTCTGTGACTTTGGGTTTTTTTTTTGTAAAATGGAGCATTTTGTTACAAATGGGCCTAAAAGAGCAAGCAAAGGTTTTAAATAACCTCAACAGAAGGTCAAATACTGTGAAATGAAATGCTGACATTGTTTCAACTGCTTGTAACAGGAATCCTATGCTTCCTACACTGCAACAGGGAGTTGTTGAGCTGGGAAGACATGGGGGTTGGAGCTGGCTGTGCGTCAGGGATGTGTGTGCTGCCAGCAAAAGGTTTCAGCAGTGGCGCCTTCAGGGTCGTTTCAAAAGAGTACCGGGCATAACACTTTCATTCTTCTTCATCTCCTGAGTTTGTTTCATATCGTCGTGACCCCCGAAGAGAAAACACAGTGAAACATCACTGCTTTCCTCTTCTCTCTGGGTGTCTCTGTCTGCCACATGAGGCAGATCCTGAAAAGCACTATTGCACCTCGTGGTTCTGACCCTCATCTTTCTTTTCACAGTTGGCTCTTGTATAAGCACTTAGTTCTCTAAAGGAAGGGGTTTTACCTTCTTTTCTCTACTCAGGTCATCTATAATTTTATAATCTTCTTTGGCATGTTGCTCACTGCCAATCTGTGGTATCTTCCTGTTCCTGGATATCTCTCCCATGCCCCTCAGCAGTGGCATGGAAACACCACATCCTGCTCCATCAAAGAAACTATGCAATGCTAATCTTTGTCACACAGCTAAATCATCCCTCCCTGTAATCCGGGGATAGTCCTGTCTTCCAGCAGTGTCTCAGTTGCATTCCCTAATCTCACACTCCTTTCCATGTGAGAAAGGGTTTCTCTTCTTAAAAAAGTGGAGAACTAGCAACCAGGAAAATTTCTCCCACCAGCAGCTCTGCAGAGCACCCTAATGCAGTCGTGCAGATTCCCTTCCCTTTTTCCCTCCCCCCTTCATCATTAACTCCGTCTTTGGTTCTCCCCAACCGAGGGGCTGAAGTCCCTCAGTCTTGATACCCTTATGCTGTCCTAGCCTTGAAATATTCACTTTGTCTTTCCACATCCATCAGCTCTGCCTGGAGCCCCTAGAACAGTGTCTTGAGCCTCTCTGGAGCAGAGAAAATTTACAATGTTCGCATTGTATTACATAATTCACAAGAGAAACCACAAATATCAGCACTATTGGACTATCAACAAAATAACCTGGGATTCAAGCGATCTGCATGCAACTTGACCTGTTTAAGCCCCATCCCTGAAGATCAGATTAGATATCTCTCCTTCTCTGTTACTTATCTGTTCTGCGAGCACTTATCTCAGCAGATTAATACAAATGGGCTTTTCTAGGCTTTCCTAGCAAGTAAATAGGAATAAACTACCAGATCCTTCAAAATCCACAGACCCAGGCTGTGTTTCATAGTGGATTATGCAACTGGGCAAATACAAGCTGAGATGCACAAGGCACTTTCTGGCAGAACCGGTTGGAAAGCTGCTGAGGCTCTTTGTTTTTCATATCCTTAAGCTGAAAGGTCTTAGGCAGGGCAACAGGTGATGCCCTTTTCTCCTTCTACTCACTCCCACCAAGGTACAGTGAATGGAGCAAAGGCTTTTTTCTTATTCTACCATTCCGCTACAGTCCAGGAGCTCTTTTTATGTGCCACAGTAGCCATGGCACTAAGGCTCTCCAGCCCATTCCCAACAAACTTGCCAATAATCATCACACCAGAGTGGCATAGTCAGAGCACCTTTCAGCATTTGCAGCAGAAAGGCAGTTTCTTCAGAAGACAAAACTTGCCAATAATCATCACACCAGAGTGACATAGTCAGAGTACCTTTCAGCATTTGCAGCAGAAAGGCAATTTCATCAGAAGACCCCATTTTCCTTGGTGAGTGAGGCCAGCATTCACCCACCCTGAGGAGTACTGGGTAGGAGGTAAAATCTTTGTTGCTTTTTTCAGTTGTGTAGTGCAAAACAGCCTTTAAAAATGTTTTAAGATGTATATGGGATGGCCTAGTAGGGTTTCACTGAGGCAGGGTGCCAGGACATGTTATGTAAAGTGTTGATCTGTCCTACGTATTAAACTGGATACAGAACAGTTGGTTTCTACTCCTCCTTTCTGGCAACAGGCCCAGTCTCATGCACTTCCATATAAACTGGACCCCTCATAACAGAATAGCTGCCTAAGGTAACAGCAGTACTCAGAAACTGCAGGGGTCCTGTTGACGATGGCAGTTCTCCTCTCAACAATGAAGGGTATGCTCTTTCTCTTGCTCCTCCCATGCTTTTGTTTTGGTCAGCCTGCACCTCCACTGCTGCGTTTCTCCATCTTCCTGGAGCCTGCAAACAGGGTCTACCTCCACTGGGACCATGACGAAGAGGAGATGATGACATTTGAGCTGCAGGTCCATACAACTGGCTGGGTGGCATTTGGATTCAGCCCTGATGGAGAGTTACCTGGATCTGACATTGTGATAGGAGGTGTCTTCCCAAATGGCAGCATCTACTTCTCTGTAAGTTGAAAAGGCTTCCTCTGCACCCCTTTGCCAAGGGTCATGCTCCAAGTATATTGGCTTGAAAGCATATGGACTCAACTGGCTAAATATAGATGCCCAAGGCCACTTGAGATGCTTAGTTGGCATGGCCTCTGAGAGTCCAGAAGAGCCCAGGTCTTCTACAGGTCCTATGTCATGCCTGCTAGCCCCATACACCTACCAACCTGACATACCCTACGGTATTGCAGATGGCACTAGGTCGTGTTGTTTAGGCAAATAAACCGATCCCATCTGCAAGTCAAAACCACAGCCAGACCCATTCAGATATGACTGAAGCAATCATCACAATGAAGCTAGAAGAGGCTGCTGGGAGTATAACTTCTGATTCATCAAAACCAGAGGTCAGTTCAGCCAGGAGTCAGATGTGAAACTCCCATGCTTTCCCTCCCCGAAGCTCTTCAAAGGTTAATTTACTTGGTTTGTCCTGTAGTAAGTGGAAACATGCATTCACCTTCAAAGGTTGCTTCTTCTTGATGGTCTTAAACATTTCCACCTAGGAACAGGATAGGACATCCTTGGGACTTGCTGTTTTTCCCCTTGTCTGTAAACGCAGCCACTAAGTATAGATGCTTTATGTTAAAACAGCTGGAGTTTAGAGGAACAAAATGGCACTGAGGATGCTAAATAGAAGAACGGGGTGTTTGTTTTGGTTTGGTTTGGTTTGTTTCAGTTTAATCATGAAAGAGAAACAGGAAGTTTAATGTTATCCAGATACAGAAAGAAAAAGAGTTTGCACTGAGGAAGTATTTGCTAGTCACAGTGGTTTTCTTTTGTTCAGGTGTTTTCAGTTCCCTTTTCATACAACAGTAAAATGTGTTTTGCATGAAATATGCCTTGGTGCTAATCTAAAAGGAGTGAACGTTGGAAGGAGTGAGGTAGCTAGCCTTTATTTATGGTCATTAGCTGGTTGCAAAATTGCTCTTGTAATACCCAGTTTTGAAATCTCTCTACGATTGTGAAACAGACAGGGAATTTTTGGCTGTGAACGACTACAGGGAAAAAGTTTATGATCAATTTAAAAGAAAAACATGTTCTTTATTTTTTTTTAAGTGATCTGGAATAAAACCAAAGCATTTAATTTCTACTGAAATAACATGCTAAAAGGACAAACTGAAGTGTTTTGTTTCAAAAATTCCATAATTTCAGAAGATATATTTAACATTTTCAATGTTTTTCTGAACCTCATTGTTTATATCAGAAAACAATTTTGGTCCCACCAAAGTTTTAGGTTTTCTGAACTCTTTCACATATCAGAAAATGTCTCCCAATTATTTAGGTCTGGAGGCATTCCTATAAGCAAACACATTAATGACCATAAAAATCCACATTTTCTCAGTAGGCTGTAGATCATATCTACTGAATCTGTGGAACAGGCAGTTTGAAGGAAAAATATGATAGTTACTGTAAATGGAGTTTAAGTGGGGTTTTCCATTTGCGTTCTTCTTTCTAACTCTCTCTCGCACATCCTTTGTTTTCAATTTTCCTCTTTAATGCAACAATAATAAAGTCATTATCTGAGTAATGTCCAACGGGTGAAAAATTAGCCAAAATGCCTATTTTCACAGAGGTGGAGGTTTTTTCCAGCTGTTTACTGCCTTCCTCTTTCATAAGGTATATTTAATTTTAAATATTTTATTTATTTCAAAGTAGCTCATTTTCAGACTATTTATCTTTGAATTTTGATCTTTTAATGAAAGAGTGCAAAGATATTTCAAAACAGTAGGATAACAAAAGTTGTGTTTTCAAACTATAATGTGTCCCTCTGTAAACTGAGCATTTGGGTTAGAGAAAAATTGCTCAGAGTATTCTGAAAGTCCAAATTGATGGATAAACTCAAGAAGAAGAAAGAATATTTGAAGCATCCTGGGAAATTTAGCAAAAGCTGTAAGCAGGTTTTGAAATTATCACTTAAAGGAACAGAGATCAGAGGAAAAAATAAGGGGAAGAATTTCACATAAAAATATTCTTCCTTGACCAGACTGTTGTCATGTAAAATTTTTCTCTTCTCTTCTACCCCGTCAAAGTTGAGTACTATAGCAAAACTTTTCAATGTAGCACTTAACTGTATATTAGGGAGACATTTGCTTTATTCTGTTTCAGATTGCTCTTGGAGAGATTTTCACCCTTTCTGCAGTCAACACCTGCTCATTTCTGGTCATTTGAACCCGTTTGCCACATGCTTTTCAAAGTCTTCCTTATGTTTCTGTGCCTTTTTGTTGAGTAACGATTGCATCTGATGACCTCAGTCATGCATTATTTGTCTTTTTCACTATGCCTATGCTGCTAAAGCCACCAGTTTGCTTGTAGTTTCTAGCAGAGTTTAGCATCCACAACCAGGCCCAGGTTCTAGATGGCACTGAAAACCTTAGAGTTAAAGTAGAAGCTTGGTATGCCTAAAGTATTTTACTTTTGAACAATGTCTGTTTTCCAACAGGGCTTACTTTACTTCCCACCCTGTGTGGTGGAGCTAGATGTGCTAAAGCACCCCAGTGTGCAGCAGGTCACTCGCTCAGGGAGTAGGGAAGATCCTCCAGGATCCATCTTATCCAGGCCATCCTCTGGGTGATGGGACCCCAGGGGCTCCTCTTTCCTTGAGCAGCTGCATGTAGCAGGGACTGGATGTGACTTCTCTTCGACTGGTTTGTGAAAATCACCAGTGACAGAAGAGGAGCTTTTTGGAGAAAGAAATGCTTTGATAATTGCTCAGGTCTCACAAGCAGTACATGGAAACATGAGCTCTCGGAGTGTAGGAAGCTCTTCTCCTCTCTCTATGGCTTTGACCTCTGTTCCTTTTCCAGGATTGTCACGTGGTAGATCAAGCAACCCTTGAGGAAGATGAGAGCCAGGACTACCAACTGCTGTCAGTGACAGAGAACGAGACCTCCACCACCATGCTGTTCAAACGCCACCTCCAAACATGTGACCCTAATGACCTGGATATCACAGTAAGAAAGAGGACTACTCAAGCAACATCACAAACAAACCTGCTCTTGTGTCTCACTATGTTCCCAGATCCCCAGGATCAAATATGAGAATGACAGGTTTTTCTCACAACAGTACAATAACTGGAATAAAATATGGGACCATACAGTGGCATTTACAATGCCATTTTCAGGGGCACTCTATTGATGTATTTGAAGTTTTTTTACAATGTTTTCCATCAATAAATAGGGAAGATACAAATCTTAACATTTTCTTAAGCTTTAACACAGCTCTTCAAAACTTTGCTAATTTCTCTCTCTCTATGTTGTTTGCTACATATAAAAAAACAATCTAGTATGGGAGATAAAGTTCTTATTTGCCTAATATAAGGCAGTATTTTTGTAAGAATTACAGTTAGAAAATTCAGAATGCATTGATAATCTCAGTCCTTCTCTCTTGGAAGAGCTTCATACTGGTATTGACTGACATAAAAAACTTGGGCAACCCAAACTGGTATTTTAAGCCAGAGATTTTTAAAAAATACATTTTGCCAAGGTTCACAAGCACAATAATGCACACATTTTCAGAACTCTGCATATATAGACACCACGTACACTGTTTCAAATTAATTTAAGGGACCTCTGGGTAGATCAGCATTATGCAGGGCTTAACCCACTCAGAAACGTTTGTCCAGAATTAGGTGTACATATACCATTTTTCCAGAGTCCAAATACGAGTGCAAATGACTGGTTAGTCACAAAGCTTCTTAATGACCTTTACTAATTGAAAGAAATATAATCCCAGCCTGACTGGGAGGAACCTACACATTTCATGGGGCCAAGCTCTTTTCAGCGGTGCCCAGTGACAGGACAAGGGGCAATGGGCACAAACTGAAGCAGAGGAAGTTCCGCCTGAACGTGAGGAAGAATTTCTTCACTCTGAGGGTGACAGAGCCCTGGAACAGGCCGCCCAGGGAGGTTGTGGAGTCTTCTTCTCTGGAGATATTCAAGACCCGCCTGGACAAGGTCCTGTGCAGCCTGCTGTAGGTGAAGGTGACCCTGCTTCGGCAGGAGGGTTGGACTGGATGACCCACAGAGGTCCCTTCCAACCCCTACCATTCTGTGATTCTGTGATTCTGTGATTTGCATGGCTGCTGCTGTCCTTACATGACGGAGCAGATCCAGGCAGATCATTAAGCGCATTCATTCTCAGCAATAGCTGCTAATGGGGAGTCAGGGGACTACAGTTTTGTTAGCTTTTTCTATAAGCCCCTTAGTAATTCTTTGTAAAAACTGCCCAAAGCGCATTAGCAGTAGATACAGATATATGTAGTGCATGTGCTTGCTCTAGCGCATGGAAAGATTTGAAATTCTGATCTTTAGCATCACTGTACAGATTCCACAGCTAGAACAGTACCCAGACACTCAGTATCTAAACATTTAAACACAAAGTGGTGCAGGTTCTGAAATCTTTATCAAAGCCCTCACACAAGCACAATAATGCACACATTTTCAGAACTCTGCATATATAGACACCACGTACACTGTTTCAAATTAATTTAAGGGACCTCTGGGTAGATCAGCATTATGCAGGGCTTAACCCACTCAGAAACGTTTGTCCAGAATTAGGTGTACATATACCATTTTTCCAGAGTCCAAATACGAGTGCAAATGACTGGTTAGTCACAAAGCTTCTTAATGACCTTTACTAATTGAAAGAAATATAATCCCAGCCTGACTGGGAGGAACCTACACATTTCATGGGGCCAAGCTCTTTTCAGCGGTGCCCAGTGACAGGACAAGGGGCAATGGGCACAAACTGAAGCAGAGGAAGTTCCGCCTGAACGTGAGGAAGAATTTCTTCACTCTGAGGGTGACAGAGCCCTGGAACAGGCCGCCCAGGGAGGTTGTGGAGTCTTCTTCTCTGGAGATATTCAAGACCCGCCTGGACAAGGTCCTGTGCAGCCTGCTGTAGGTGACCCTGCTTCGGCAGG